AGTGAAACGGTCATGGTTTGAAGCATGAGTTCCCCCCCCCCCCTTAGTTTTGAACTGCCATTTTGTTTTAGAGGAAGTTAGACTGGGATTTAAATTAGAAGAGAATACAGCAAGCAGGTGTTTGGTAGGAGTTAGAATGGATGAAGTTTGTTAAGTTTAATAACATGGCTTCATTCAAATGGTATTTGTGAAAATAGTACAGATTTGCTATTTTTGGCTGGCAATGTTTTTTTAAGGTTGGAGTAAGTGCTGATTTATCCAGTAGCTTGGTAGTTGAAGCATTCATCTCAGATGCAGAAGATAAAAAGAAAATCTCTGTTCTGAGAGGCTTTGAAGCCATGTATCCCTACTTTGAATCGGATGCTAAATGGATTGAATGCAATTTACGCCCAGGTCCGGTATGAAGCTTAACCAAACTGGTTGCAAAATCTCTGGCAATGTACAAAAACATTTTTTGCACAGACATATTACCAACACACGGTTCTGCAGTATTTTGTGAGTTGGTAATTTTGTGGCTTTTCCAGCAATACAGCACTTGTATTCTGGGCTGTCCTTGCCGTTGTCTTCCCCATCAACAAGCACATCCTACATCTGACTGACTCCCCTCCTTCCAGCTTCTTCCCCTGAGACCGTGTGCGTGAGGTAGCAGTGGGTTAAAGCAGTATCATCATGTTCCCCCACATTAGGTGCTGCAATACGGCATGATCCTCTTACCTACCTGTGACTCTGGGTTAATGATGGTATTTGACTCCTTGGTTTCTAAGGTGGGCGAGATGTGCGACAGCAATACTGACCCGCTTTATTTCTTTAGTCTCAGTTTAGAGCGTCTTTTCAGCTCTGTACAGGCATAGTGATATCAAGGATTTCTTTGAGAAACAAGGACTGGTAGTGAAGAGGATCCTTAAGTTCTGATCCAGCTGTGTTTCTTTGAGAAAAAAATCAGAAAATTATGAATCTTTGTGTTGATTCTTTTCCTTTGAAGTAATTGCAGTAGTCTCTTCTGGGACACCAGAATTCCACATTCTGTCTCTCCTTTCTCCCACCTGATGGGACGACCTTCACAACAAAGTTCTCTAAATGTGGCAACCTTTGCATCTCTTCAAAAGCGATCTTGATGTAGACAGCTGGAGGGAACCGGCCATGAGCAGGAGCTCTCAGCTCTCCGCAGAGGCAGCGCACATACTGCATCTTTCCAGCAGCAACTCTCAGCTAAACAATTGGTTTCAGATCTGAGCGTCCTCTTGGTGCAATGCAGATATCAGTGATACCAAGCAATGATGTCAAGTCAAAAGAGACTAAAGTAACATTTGAAGCATCTGGGTTTTATTCCTAACTTGAACATTTGCCTGCAGTGTGGCTTTGGACAAATTCACTGTGCCTTTGTTCCTCTTCTTGAAAATAGAAATAACTCTGCTTTTCTGCTTTGCTGACCGGGAGGCCATGCTGTATAAAAGTTTGGTGGTGTTATTTATTTGTGTGCAATTTTCTGCCTTTTAGCTAAGATGTCAGGGGTTTCGTACTGTTCAGTACTATTTGTGCTGTGCTAACAGTACAAATTTGTGCTGTTCCTATTTCTTGTCATATTCTGCCCTCATGCATCCCTGAATAGTGAACAAGATAATTGGGATATGGGAAGGTGTGCGAAGGAAGAATTGCACAGAGTGGGAGAGGACAGAATTTCACATGCTAGATGTTTTGGCATCCAGGGAAAGATATCGAACCACCTCCAGGTGGGCAGTCATTGAGTGCCAGTAGGTATGTTGGAGATGCCGCTGTGATTGCTCTCCTGATAGAGAGAGCGCCGAATCACCTGCATCTGTCATCTGCCTTATTGCTGGTTCAAGCACCGATACCTGCTGCCTTCCTGTTGGGCTCAGCTTGAAAGTCAATATGGGTGGGCAGCTCAAATGGGCCACACTTCTTGTGTGGGAAGCATGGGGACAACAACCTCTTGGCATCCCCAAAGGACTCCTTCCTCAAATGGTTTTTCACCTCTTCATTATAAACATAATTGCTTTGTCTAGATGGTTTTGCTCAGATGTGTTATTTTTTTACTGGTGGTTTCTAATTATGGTATTTCAGGATCACCAAATGTGCATTCGCCATCATTAGTGGCTTCTTCTCATGTTATTTGTTTCATGTTCAGGGAATAGCAACCAGATTGCAAAATAATGAGCTACCTTGTGTATTTCAGAAACATACCCCTCGCAATATGCATTTCAATGATTATCGTCACAGTTGGCTATGTGTTAACAAACGTGGCTTATTTCACTACAATCAGTGCTGGGGAATTGCTGCTTTCAAAAGCTGTAGCAGTGGTAAGTTACAGAAGAAAAATATAAAGCTATATCCCTGCTGCAGTTGTGTTTGTTGATATATTCTTATTTCCAGGGGAAAAAATTGGGGGGATACATCCAATCAGGCTTTTCTATGGCTCCTCTTTTACACCACATATTAGCATCCCGGTGAACTTAAGTCTGATTTTTGACTGATGAGCGGGATTGCACTTAAGGCCATCGATAGCACTTGTAATGTAATGTTAGACCGTATTTATTTACCTGATATACCAAAGTCAACAGGCCTTAAATTTGATAGCTAAGTACATGCTTGAAAAATTCTGTGCTACATTGTAGGCTGAACTCCTGGGAAGCAGGAAACAGATATTTGTGGAAGTGGGAGCTCTGAACTACTTTTTTGTAGCAAGAAGCGGTAACGCTGTCTCTGCACAACATGCTTCCTGAGTACGTAGGAAGGGGGTTACTGTAAATACTGGAGTTCATTTGTGAATGAGTTGCAAGGCAACCTGGTTTGAAAATACCGCTTTGATTGTTCTTGCTGAATTGTGGTGATGATGCTGATTTTAATATTTATGGTTCTGACTCGCAATGAGGAATTAAAAATTTCCGTTTACTTTCCAGTAGTGACACTGCCTGTGGCTATTTCAATTGATGTGACATTTAAAAAATGACCAAATTCTGTAGCTCATGGGAGATTTAGAAACAAAACATTTTGCAAATCTGAAGAAAATTGTGCACATCTCCTGTGGTGCCCAAAACTTCAGTTAAGGCTCTTCTGGTAACCCGGAACAACAAAGTGTGGATGGATGGGCTGTACCACTGGGCAGCATCAGCTAAGTAAAATGAAGGCTGTAAAAAATATTAGGTGTGCAGATCAGACCGTGATGCCATCATGGTCTAAACTGACAGAAATCAGGACCTGGTTCCACCTCCACAGCATTGCCTCATCTGGCAATCCTCCATGTGTAGTCAGGAGTGAGGGTGGGAGACCTCATCTGCGGTAGCCTTGGTGTCGCAAAGTAAGAGGTAACAGACGCACAGCACGACTTTCAGTGAGGGATGCAAAAAGGGGTAATAACTAAAACTTACCATGCTTATTAATAACATGTTAATAGAATAAAATTACTTTCCTGTTTTCTGAAAAATCACTGTATGTTTCTCTCTCCTCTAACAGACCTTTGCCGAACGACTAATGGGAAACTTTTCTTTGGCTGTACCAGTATTTGTTGCTCTCTCCTGCTTTGGATCTATGAATGGTGGCATTTTTGCGGTGTCCAGGTGAGCATTGCTAATATTACTGGGGGAGAAGGGCATGGGATACACACTGAAAGTGAGGAAGCAAGGGGAAGGGAGAGTAAGATTCATTCCTTCAGCAGGGAATGAAAAAAGCCTGTAATGTTCACCAGGTGTGAGGCTTTTTCTCACTTTGTTCCTGTTGAGTTTAGTATCTTGTCGTTAAAACCCTTTGAATGGTTTGGAAATGGATCTCTCTGAGCATAGCACTTAATTAATGGCTGCTTTGTTTCGTGTGAAGGAGGGAAATTGGAGGGAAAATACTAACTAATTCCAAACACCGAGTGTAGTGTAAGGTGAGGAGGGGACACCTTCAAAGATGACTTTGATTTCTGCATATGGGCTTCTCTTGCTAGTCTTTTCATTCAGAATACCTCAAACAAGCCTAAGAAGTGCCGCTGTGCTCTGTGACTTTCATGAGCCGCTTTGCCTAGTCACAGTAATGAGCACATTTAAAGTCTGTCCACATTTATTTCCCACCAGGATGTTCTTCGTTGCATCCCGCGAGGGTCACCTTCCGGAAATTCTCTCCATGATTCATGTCCGCAAGCACACTCCTCTGCCAGCTGTCATTGTTTTGGTAAATCATACAAACAAATGTTCCTGCACAAGAATTCATATTACAGACTTGCTCTGGAGGATTCGAACAGAATTTGGGCACTGCTTGAGTCTCATTTATTAATGTGTACGTGGGCTTTGGGGCAGGGCAGAGGACAGGAAAGAGAGGAATGAGATTTGGGAGTTGTTCGTATTCTCTCATCTCCTTGCTATCTTGTCAGTAGCACTTGACTGCCTATCTCTGCAGCCAAATTCACGTCTTAATGCCCTTTATTTCTAAGGACCTGCTAGTGATGAGCTAGTTCCCTTTCAGAGAAACAAATTCCAGTTAAACAAACAAACAAAAAAGGGATTCATTTAACTGAAAGTGCAGCTAAATACCAGCATCTGGGAGCACCCTCAAGGCTCATTATACCACCTTATAGTGAAAAATGCAAACAATTATGCACTAAGATAATGGAAGGGGAACCCTCAGCAGTGCAGTGTAGCGGTGATTAAAAAATGAGAGAACGCGTGCCTGGGCAATAGTCTGTGAATTGTCTAAGGAAAACCGGCAGTATTATAGTGGAAATCCCATTACTGACTTCTAAAATAGCAGCAGAGCTAAATGTTGACCATGTGTTTGCATTGCAAACTAATTTGTATGGTAAAATGTTAGGACAAAATGTCAAAATACCGACTTCAAACCTCAGTTTGCATAGTGCCAAGAAGATTTCCACTTGCAGTCTTTGTAACCGTGGGTGTTCAGCCCCTCTTTTGGGACCAATGACTGTAATGGATCTGGACAGACCCCTGCATCTCTGGGAACTTCTAGCCACAGCAGAAGACGTGTGAGCATCTAGGAGTGTACACTAGTAAGATCAGATGCTCGTACTGGAATTTAAATCAGTTTTTTGCTGTAGATGCCTATAAGCTCACTTCTGAAGTGCCAGCTGAAGTGTTGAATTTTATATGTGCACGCACATAGGCATCCAAATTTTGAAAATTAGACGATGTGATTATGGTGAAAAGTTTTAATGGAATTCATTTTATATAAGCATTTACTTTGCATTTTATTTCTTTGGGCTGAAGCAGTCCTACCTTTCAGGTAAATTGCTTTGACTGTTTTCTGTGGAATGAAAAGCGCAAAATGTATTAATTTATTTTTTTTTTTCTGAAAAACATTTTCTCTTATTGCATCTGGTCCTGTTACAGCAATGCATTGATTTCCTTTGAAAAAGTCAGATTCTTATATGAAGATAGCTTTCCTTCAAAGACTGTGAATATTTTTTTTTACTTTCTTGCAACTAGAGTAGATGCAGGATATATTCTGCATCAACAGCCTGCATTTTAGCATTTTCCTACAAGGTTTACACACTGTGAGAAAGGAAAGAGCTCTTGGGGAGAAACTGAGAAAATGAGCATATTCAATGTTTGAGGCTTGTTAAATAAAAAAGCATTTTTAGCAATTAAGAAATCTGCTTAGGAAGGTATATCCTGGTATTTGATAGATATGTGTGTAGCAAATCCAGGAAATCATGCAATCTGATTGTAACTCTATGTTTGGGGTTTTTTTCTTCACTGTCTGTGGCCTTTTCTTGCATTATCAGGCTTATAACTGAGATCTTAAACTTTTAGGGGCTGAGTCTATATAGAAGAAATCTTGCTGAATATAATTCAGTGGTAAAATTTCCTTTGACCTTTACAGAGAAGGAGTTTGCTTAATATCTGTGTATAAAGAACCAAGCACTTTGTAAGTCATTAGAGGTTGGAAGCCAAAGACCTATATTTGAAATATTGATCCTTCTGGTTCAAACCCATGTTGTCTTCACTGTTTTTTTTAAAAAAAAAAAAAGAGAGAGGGAGGCTTTGAGTCTAGATAACGAATACAAGTTAGTTTTCCTTACATAAAGCTTTAGCACCTGCAGTTGATTTTACCTGTTGCCTTTTATAAACCTCGGGAGGCTGTCGCTGTGGGATCATCCGCCTCGCTGGACAAGAAGGGCTGCAGTGCAGTTGACTCGTTCCTGCATCCCCGAATGCAAGGACTGGGTCACTGTGGGCATAGGGTGTCTCACACGGGAAGCGCGGGCTACCCTGCAGAGTTGATCCAAGCTACAAATATTCTGCTTTTGTCCAGAGATTACCCTGAAATAGATCCCTGTAGCCTACGCTAATCATCTAACCCAAGGCGCAACACTCTAGTTTACACATCAGCTTTTGCCCACCTTGCGGAAGCCTTGTACCTCAGAACAGCTTTTAAATGAGGAAATGTATTTATTCTAGTGTCCCCTCTCCTTCTTGCTGTTCAGTGGCCACCTGAGTGACAGCTAAATGCTTCTCTCTGCTTAGAAACATTTGCATTTCTGATGTGCAATAAGTCTACACCCTGCAAGCCTGCAAGGCATACTGCAAATACAAGCTGGAGGCAACCCGGCGTGCCCAGCTGGCATCCCAGGGCGTGGAGCTAACCCTTACCGTGCCCTCTTTGCTGAGTTCCTCTGTTGCGCCCTGGGGGGACCATAAGACTTTCTCCTTCCACAAGACGCCCTCAAACCTCAGCCTTCGCATGATCAGATGTGACCAAAATTCAGCTGCTCTTGTCATTTGCGTCCACGATGGGCGAGTAAAAGTGCAGCGGGCTAATATATTTGTCAGGTCCTGTGAGAACCGGTGCCCAGGATGCTCAAGCATTTTGGTGAGGCAGTGGGCTGTGTGCCTGTGTATTGGTCTGGGTCAGAGGGGACAGATACGTGTGGCCGTTCGGGACAAATATATATTGATCGAATGTGGTCTCAGGGAACAGCGAGGTATCAATCACACCGCTGACTTGCATGACAAAGGCAGGCCTGAAGCCTGTGGCCCTCAGGTGTCTCTGCAAAAGGCTGTGCTGCTTGTCCCTGTGGAGAAATTTGACATCCCTGCTGTAAAATAATAGAGATCAATCCACTAAACCCCTCTTACGCTCTGAATTTCTTTTGCAGCATCCTCTCACAATGATAATGTTATTCAACGGGGATCTCTACAGCCTCCTGAATTTCCTCAGTTTTGCCAGGTGGCTTTTTATTGGACTGGTAGTTGCTGGGCTGATTTATCTCAGATATAAACGTCCTGATATGCCTCGTCCTTTCAAGGTAACCTCCGCTCTCTACTGTTTTAAATGAATCCTTCTCCCTCCTATCTATTGTGCAGTCAGACAGTAAAGGAGCGTTTTCTGATGTAGAAAGCTAACCTCTTTGTCGAGAAAAACAGATTTAATAGAAAATAGTCTTTTGCACTGAAGGGTCTCCAGGTGTTTTCCTGCGAGGTCCCCAGCGCTACCCCAGCTGCGTTCCCTTCTGAAAGATAATACTTGCCTTTTCCCTGGTGCTTGGGGGGCAGTGACTGAAGCTGCCGTGCCAAAGCGAAGGTATTTGCTTGATTTTGCTTGTCTGCTGCGTTGAGGCAGCACGATGCATGCTGTGTGAAAATGCCTCTAGTCCTGTTTAGTCACGTAGGGTTCAAACTGCAAATATTGGGGTTACATGTGCCAACCTGATCTTGAGCCAGTCCTCTATTTAATGTCTCCTTTATCAAAGGCCTGAATAATTTTGCCACCAGAATTCATGTCAAGTGCAAGTGTTAATATTAAATATTTATTTCATTGCCTATCCAATATCAAACATGCCAATTTGATGTGCAGATAAGTTGTTAGTGCTGTTATTAGCATATTTGGGACTTGCAATGGCTTTGCAGACGCAGTTATTGTGAACCCAGAAAGAAAACGCTAATAGTCTGGCCCATTGAACAGTAGCTGTTTTGACCTTGGTTCTGCTATTCTTCTTCCTTATTTTAAGTAACATCTTACAAAGGAAGTTGTCCCATTGTGTATCTGGAAAGATAATGTCCATCATGAAAAAAATGGAGGAATCTATCCCTATTTATATATCGCCAAGAAGCCTATTTTGTGAACAGCTAAGAATGTGTGCTGTTGCGTTCTTGTAGGTATATCTGTAAATAAGAAGGTGAACAGCACAACCCATTTTGTTTTGATTGAAAAAACAATGCTTTGACAGTGCACAAAAAAGGAACAGTAATGCTTCAAGGCATGAAAGGAAGAGAATAATCTCCAAAGAATTCTCCAATTCTCTGTTACACTGAACATCTCACAAGCCATGCCAGTAGGCGTTTCCTTCAGAGAGGTGCTAACATAGTGATTGCAGTGGTGTTCTTGAAAATTGAGAGAATTAATCTGATATTATTATTTTTCGTACTTTCAACAGTGACACTGATAATGCTATCAGTCATACAGTCAGAAAGTGCTTTTTCAGTAGCTATCACTTGCGTAATGCTATCAAATATCTTTATCACTACTCAAATTGGTATTTAATTTGCTCTCTTCCTGCTAGATTTTGATTTTTACCTTAGGAAGAAAATCAATATGTTCTTAATAGTTTTAAAAGGTGACTTGAGCTCCTGGTTGTGTTTTAAAATGTTTTCTAATAGGTAATTATCAAAGAGGAAATCTTTACTGCGGTTAGCGCTGCTTACTTATCTACTGGGAGATTAGAGAAAGGACTTTCGCTATGTAACTTATTTACAGCGCTTAGGTTTGAAAGGACGTAAACCATTGTAGTGTTTCAGCATGTAATTAAAAGACTTCTGTGGTAGTCACTGCATAGTACTCTGCATAGCTTGGTTTCTGCAGTCTCTGACATTTTGTGTGCATGTTCTAGATACACATATTTCTCCAGAACTTTCCTGTACTGCTGGGTTTTATCCAATTTATGTTTCATGGAATATTAAATGCCCTGGTCATTCAATAACAAGGTCGATGTAAAGTAATGGTTCTTTGTGTGATTTTGTTTCAGGTGCCTCTATTTATTCCAGCATTGTTTTCCTTCACCTGCCTCTTCATGGTTGCACTGTCACTTTACTCTGATCCAGTGAATACAGGGATTGGATTTGCAATAACCCTGACTGGAGTGCCCGCATACTACCTCTTTATCGTATGGGACAAGAAGCCAAAGTGGTTCAGAAAGCTCCTCGGTAAGTCCCGGTGGGAGTCCTCTCCTTTGTGCTGACTCCGGGAATTTCTCAGGGCTCCCCGTGTTGTGAAATCCTTCCGATCGATCCTCTCGACTGCTCTGAGCTGGGGATGACAATGCAAGTTTCTTTTCGGCGCGTGCTATAGCATTGCTCTGCCGGTTACAATCAATGTCCGTTAACTAATGAGATATGTTTACAGCAAGCCTATTCCTCATCTAGTGATTGACTTTAAATGACTGGATGCCTCTCCCCCTGCCTGTCCCCTCTTCTCTCCCTTCCCTGCAAACATCTGATTCCTTTTAAATCACCCATCTCCCTCCCCTGGCTGTTGGCCTACGCTAGTAGAGACAGTATTTACACTCCTAGGAGAATCGGTTTGGAAACTCAACTATCACAGTTGTGAGGACAGGATGGGCTTGGTGCTCCCTGCAGAGACCATGCATCTGTGCACCACTGAGGAGTGTTTGGAATGGGACAGGCTCAGGCAGGCTTGGTGTGGGGATATTGTCCTTAGTGGTGGCTCCTGACAAAATGATAGCAAAATATATCATGCCTGACACATCTCGTGTTTCTGTGTTTCATGAAAAACGACTTCTGCGTGACTTGGCTGTAGTATTTCACACCTGAAATACACTGGGAATCATTTTCATACCAATCGCAAAAGTTTTTGAAAGCATTTGTGGAAGTTCTGATGTGTTGGAGAAGAGTTATTTGGAGCAAGAGGGCAAAACGTATTTACAGAAAAAGATGTTAGTTTAAGGCTAGCGCACTCTGGTCATCTTAATTTTATATCCATAAAGTTATAAATTACTTGCAGTGTCCTGGGAATGGGTAGAAAGCTCCAGTGCAAATGAAAACAGTTGTATGCAAAAGGACATTCTATTAAATAGTTGGGGTTTTGTCTGTTTGTAATTTCTCAGCCTTGACATTTAGGGACTAGGAAATTTTTTCTTATCAAACCCAAGAGATTATTGGCATTTTCTGTGAAGTCTCGGAGGTTTTGGAATACAGTTACTTGAATCTCTGGCCACAGGATGCCAGTGTTGAACTACATTACTTGGGTGAGAGAAAAAATATTCTCTTTAAGGTAGACTGGGTAGATGTGAAGCTTTTTCTGCCAGCTGAGATAATGAAGGTGAATCTTCTAGCTTTTCAGTTAACACAAAATTCTCCTCCTGGAAAGAAGGCCTGGTGCCTAGGTAATACCTATGGATGGGCACAGTGTACTGGCTCGGAGGGGAAAGCAGCGGACGCCGATCAGTGGGCGAAACAGCTTGTTTGCTTTGTAATTTTTATTCCCAAAATAACAACAGTAATGACGGAAAACTGATGCTGACAGTTTTGGGGTGGAGCAGAGTGGAGATTTACTTGTTAAAAAAAAAAATAAAATTTTTTTTTCCCTCAGAAGAAGCAATAACCTTCTGTGTGGAGTCATTAAACTGGAATTATTTTGTGTTAAGGGAGCTCCATTGTATGAGCCTGAGAGCATTTTTCAAAGGCATTGAATGAGGATAAATTCACTTAAGGTACCTCTGTGAGATACAGAAAAGTCATCGGGCAGCTGCAAGCTTGGTATTCTAACCTTGAAATAATATGCGTTAGGTGTACATAGGCATGAAAGAGTAATTCCAGACACGAAGTAATGGGACAACATGAAAAAATGGGATTGTCATTTAAGAGGTAGATTTTTGCCAGATTAACGGGGTAATTTTCTTTGAGAAGATAACTGATTTTCCTAGACAAAGGAGAACGTGGTAGATCCAATCTACTTAGACTTCAAGCAAAGCATTTTGTGTAGTACTGGGGAGGAGTCAAAGCCTGTTAGTCTGAACATAGCACCGTGCTAACAAGACTATTCCCTGGCTGCTTCATCTGCGCCACTCGGCGCGTGAACAAGGTGGCGTGGGGCGCTCCACCCGTTTGCAAAGTCACTTTGTTGCGGACCTCAACTCGTTCAGCCACCCAGACCTCATTCGGAGATGAGATGGCTGTTGCTCGTCAACCCTACGTGGAACGCGTACTATTTAAGTGAAGGACAGCACTGGAGCAAAAGCACATGGGTACAGACCAGCCCGACCTAAGATTAGGTTGGATATTCAGAACAGGTTTTGTAAGGATCAGAGGAGAGGGATGTTGAACAGCCAGAACGAATATCCAGTCTAATAAGATAAAAGACCCAGTCCAAAGATGAATATGTTTATGAAAGGGGTTTCAGGCTGGTTACAGTAGCAAAGCCCTCGCATGGATTACCTAAGAAATCCTCTCCAAGGCTGAACATCTTTGTTCTGTTCGTTTTGACTGCCCTTAATGGCATTTGCATTGCCCGCTCTCCTTACCAAATTGCTGTATTGAACAAAAGGGAACTTCACAGTCTGTGGGGTTAATAGGGTCTGGGTGGTATTTTGCAGTGAGAATAACGTTTTGTTCTCTCCTCTTCCAAAGAAATTTTGCTGTAGCACCAGATGTGCTGGGAAAAAATAATTTTCAGCTAGTACAGGCTTCATTTGACCTCTGCTTTCTTGCTTTTTGTAGAACTAATGTGAAAATGAAAAAAATGAAGCCTAGCAAATCCTATGAAGCAGATCGGTGTGTAAAAGCATGCAGCACCAGAATGCTTCCATTTGGGCTGCCTCAGTTGAAATCCCAACCTTCAACTCATATTTAAAACATCTATTTCTTTACAGTGGATTGAATTGCAAGGAGCTTAAAAGTTGAATCCTGCTTTCTTCATTGTCTGAGCCCATGCTGGAGGAGAGATCTGTTTATATAACAAAATGTCTCTTTCAGGGTTATTTACAAACACTAGAGGATGATGCTTGCTCACTCAGGACATAGTGTTAGACGCTCAGTTTGCTCCTCTTTGTTGAGTTAGTGGTGTTGGGATCTGCAGGAAATCATCTCAGCATTTTGCTGTCACAGATTTGATGTCCAGTCTTATACATATGCAGTAAATTGCTGCTTTCTTTCCTCACCCAGGCTTAACATGGTGCTTATATAGATACCAGGTCTGGGGTTTTTATAGAGGTTGTCTCCTGAGACCTCTTTACGGTGAATTCTCCTCTTGAAAGGGAAAACTAGGGTTTAAAGTGTGCGTGGGGGTAAGTCGTCTTTACTGTCTTATGTTAAGCCAGTCGTGTAACTCTGGGTACTGCTCAAAGCAGTCAATATAGAGATACTGATAGGAGACAGATTGGGACATGTTTTTGGGGAAAATACTCTTTAAACTGTCTTATCTTGAGTGTATTGCAACCTAAAAAACCCAAGCAAGCACCCCAGCCCCCCCAGCTTGTCTGATTGCTCCTTCATGGCTTCATCCCAGCGCAGAGCAAAACTACCCCATGGAAATGGAGGAGTGGCAGCCGCCTCCGGCCACAGCGAGGACCAGCTCTTGCTGCAGGTGGCTCTGTCCAGGTTGTCGAACAGGATATTAAAATCACAGCCAGCTCTCAAGACGCCCGGGCTTTTCCTCTGCTGCCCTGCCCTTTTCCAAGAGCTGTTATACCGTAGCTCAGCTTGACAGAAAGTCTGGTTTTGTTCTTCTTGCTTTGCTCAGCCTCAAACCTGGAAGGGGTGGGACGTCAGGGGCGAAGCCCTGCTGGCTTCCCGCTGCTGGCTTTCCTCCTGCCCTTCGCCCCGGCCACGCTCAGCCCAGTTCTGAAGTCCCTGCCACGGGTAGGGGAGGGAGACGGGAGGAAAATGCAGTCCCTGTTGGCTCTCAGCCCTTCTGACCCCATCAGCTTATAGTCTAAGGGCAACCAGGCTTTGCGCTGAACTGGTGACCTCCAGAGAGAAGAGCAAAAAAGATGGTAGAGGCTGCCTTAGGAGAGCTGGAAAGTAGTTTCGGTTCGTATCTTCTGTGAGTTGCGCTGTTTTACCCTCCTCACTTTACACTGGTGTAAATGCCAATGTGTCAGGCCAGACGAGGAAAGTCAGAACTTTCTCTTACAACAACCCCTGCTTGTTTAAAATGGGTTACTAAAAAAAAGTGACAAGGAAAAGGAGTGATAAGAGAATGCTCTTTTACTATTCTATACGTAAATTAACTGTGCCATTTATGAATCGGTACCCTAAAAAGAAAACCTCCAAAAACACCAGAAGGAAATAAATGTCCAGAGTGACAAAAAGACAGTGTGAAGTTGCTTTGGATGTGTGACATTCTTAGACCTGTGAAGCTTTGTAATAGTTGTTTCCTTTTATTTTTTTTGTTTTTTTTCCTGCTTAGGCAAATCTTGGCACAGCTGAATTAACTTGTTTGAACTCTTTCAGACTTTTATTTCGACATTGCAACTTTGTTAAAACTGAGCAATTGTGCAGAGTAGTCAGGCTTTAAGACAGCCGTTAAATGCATGATGACCTTTATTGAACAAGTTTATCCCTCTGTACTCTTCCATTTTTGTTGTATATGCACAGCCTTGGATCAGAGGCAAAGAAAAGATAGTTTAAAATTAAAAAAAAAAAACAAAAAAGGATTAGACATTTAAATGATATATGCACCCAGTATATATGACCGCTGCGAATCTTATGTGCAAGTAGGCTGTATAGCAGCTACGATAATTTTCCCGGCTGCTTCTGCCTTCTCCATCCCCACCAAAATTTTCCATGTGTATGCTTTTATCTTTGCAGACAGGGTAACTGTAACATTGCAAATCCTCTTGGAAGTCGTCCCATCAGAGGAAGACCAGAAATCATGATCTTCACGGACAGCTTTTGGCTTGGTGTTTCATTTCAACCTGAGGAAGAGGGTAGGGAGGTTTCTCCCCCTACTCAACGTTCTGCAGACTGGAGGAACAAGTCACAACTGAGATGGATACCGAGCGAGTCCGTTACCAGAACTGTATTTTACCATGTTGCAAATTTTTTTTTAATGTGGTTGGTTTTATATGTAGAAAGCAAGAACTTGTGCTATGAGGGTACTCATCTCGTCACTATTTCTTCTGTTACAGTGTCATATTTTAACAAAACGGTAGGTTTGTCAAACTAGGATTTTGGTTGCGTTTGTCACTAAAAACAGGTTTAAGCAATGTGTAAGTAATAGTCAGGTGTACTGTGAAGAATGCATCCTGCTTGCTGTCCCCGAAGAACCCAACTCTCACCAGAGAAAGGGTGACATAAAGCTGCTGAGTTTTACTTACTAACGTTCTTCCCGTCACTTCGTTTGGCAGCCCAGTTTGACTTCTTTTGACTGGCTGGGAGCACCAGCACACCGATGCAGAAGCACAGCGGTTTCCACACGTTTGTGGGGGCAACTTCAAGCTTTCTTCATTCCAGAGTTGTTATGTTATAGATGATAGGAATGTCTTCTGGGAATTAATATTTCTGCCAGTGGGGCAGGAAGATTTTAGCCTGGGGGCAGTAATTTCATACATGTTAAAGTTTCCACCAGTCTGGAAATGATTACTGTTTTTACCAATGTTTCTTTGTGTACGCACGTACAGGAAATACAGCAGCTGAGTAATCACCTTTAAATGACTCAAAACATTTGAACGAGACCTCCGTTGCTGTATGACTATTTTCTGTCTGGAAGCATATGGACCTGCAGTTATCGGTCAGGCAAAGCGGATTTTAAAGTTTTATATCATTGTTGGTGGGTAGAAATTAGTAATAGTCACTAGTGGGAATACTGTATAGGCACGGCAATAAATGCAATACCTTTTTATGAATAAGGTATAAGGCAAGCTACAACAGACTTGTTGATTTCAGTGGGATATGTGCCTAATCTGTGGGCTTTTCATTCAAGCACGCTCCAATTAACTGGGCTTTGAAACACCAAGAAACAGGTGCTCTGCCAGTGTCGTCTTCCCAGATTTATCCCTGCAGAAACAGAGAAAGGCCATCAAAACTGATAAAATCAAAGAAAATTCATCTTCAGAATGATGTTTGAGCTGAAGTTTTGCCCTTTTTTTAAAGACCATTGTAGATAAAGAAATTTTGTAATGCTCAGACATTCAATTTTATATTGTTAGTTGAAGACTACTCAACCTTAAGATTAAGGTTTGTTATCACTCTGTTAAGAATATAATGCTTAAATATTGAATGCACTACTTTTTGAGCTGTTTGCTATCAGCAAGTCATATGTTTCATGAAAACTTTTATGGAACTAAGCAACATTAAACTTCCTAAATTGGGAGAAAAGCACAACTAGTAGTCAGACCACTACAGTAAAGGGAGACTGTGTATTGTATATATGTTGTATATATCCAGAATATCTACCATTTTAAGGATGTACAGTAGAATGTGTTAAAATTATACATGTTTTTCTTTCTTGTATTTCTATGGTGGAATTTCACAGAAGTAGGGAAATGGGAGTAGGAGTGTAGATTGTGTAGAAGAGAAGTAATTTAAGATGGAGTAGAAGAGATTTAAGATTGTGTAGAAGAGAAGTAATTTAAGACACAGAAAACGTTTTTACAAACATTTTTTTAAAATGTTTTCTGTTTACAGTAACTTAAAGTGTTATTTGAAACTTTTTTAGGCAAACATTTTGAGAGAGCTTTTTATGTTGACAGTGCACGCGTTTAATTAGTATTTATACTTGGGTCAGAATTCTGCTTTTGAGGCCACCTGCTGCCATCCCAGTTCACCAGGGTTTGGCCTGTGTCATTGTGGAGCATCTTCAGAGTACACCAACTGGATTTCTCTCTGATCAGACCAAACCTCCAGAAATGCACTTAAGACCCCCTCTGCCCCGGTACTGGATGCTGAGTGCATGGGATCCCACTGCAGAACCTCCTGAACATCCATAGTGTGGATGCCAAGTTTTCAGCACCAACTGTTTCATTTCACGTATCCACTCCTATTGTGCCACGTTACTTGAAAGTTGAAATGTAGGCAGTGTTAACTTGTAGAAATAAATGGGCTCTGTAAATATAACTGAATGTTGCTTTATTTTCCCGTCGTGGACTTTAAAGTTTAGAAATGTTTCTGAAGTTTGATTCAATGATCACATTTTACTAGGTTTATTTCATGTAAGAGGTTAATTTGTCCCAAGGCAAATCCTGTGACTCATTGATTGTGAAGTTGTATATTTTAGGAAGAAAAAACATTACCTGCAAAATAAAAAAACCTGGGTATTTTTGAAAATGCACAGGGATTCTAATTTCAGGTTTAGTTTCTTTAGCACGTACAAAATATTGCAATTGGGTTTCCAGTGTGTTATAAAAGTCAGTATTAAGGACTTTTATTACACCTGGAAATGAAGCTTATCCTAACAAATGGAGGAAAAACAGGTTACAACATTTTTTTTTTAAAGCATCGAGTTTATTTTTTTAAGAGTATTTTCTTCAAAGTCATAAAGGAAATTCTAGAATAAAGGATAAACTTTATATATGATTTTTCTTATTAGGGCCTGAGGTGGTCAGGCCAATGAAACTACTTCTATGGAGAAGTTTATTTTTTCTTGCCCTTTGCACCTTTCTATCAACTTGACTCTGTCAAAACATTTCTTTCTTTTTGTTTAGGTGGGTGCTGCTGTTTTTCTTCTTTGAATTTATTGCTTTCCTGGGCTATAGGCAGAAGCGTCACCAGAGGCAACAGGAATGAACATTTGACGTGAGTAGCAAATACCGATGAGGTTTAGTACAACGCCTCTTGGAGAAACAGTTCGGCATCTGAAGCCTCCAAAGATCCTGACCTATCTTTGCGCCTCTTGATCTGGCCTGCTGCGTGGCATGAGGCATAATTTTATCAGAGGGGCATGTTTTGATTTCCGAAGCCTGCTCCCAGCTCTGCGTGGGCTTTCACCTTTTCTCTGGTGCCATGTGCTGCAGGCCTGTCCCTGCCACCCCCTCCCAGCCCAGGAGCGTGCTGTGGCTTTTGAGGGGCTATCGGATGGGAGCCTGAGGGTCGCCTCTTCCTTCCCTACATCACCAATACATTCTTTGTCTGGACATAGAGGTTTCATGATTTGTTTCTGCTACTCCAGATAATCTCCTTTATGCACAGGAATCAAAGTGGGTGAGAGAGAAATCTCAATTTTTAAATGAGGCGCCTGTGATCTGATAAAGTCTGAATTGTCTATGTCATGTAAAATACTTCCAGATCCACCCTATAGAGCTTCTCATAGGTGTTACGCCCTTTTTGCATCGTTGTACATGGACGTTTTTTGTACAAGACAAAATACACCAAGGGCTTTGACGTGACTGGCAGCTGCAAAGTTTTAGGGGTGCTTTTTGTCACGATGACGTGGCGTTTGCGAAGCAGTAGTGCCAAAACGCCGCCGACGGGCGGCACCTTCCCAGGGACGCCGCGGCCTCCGGCTGTGGCTGAGGGGCAAAGATGCTTTAACAGGACGCCTGTCCCCAGTTCCTTGCCTTGTCCATCAGCTCCCAGGCTGCAGCACTTTGCCGTGTGGCATTTGAAGTCAAGCGGCATTGATTTCGGTCTGCCTTAAAATACTGCGCCATCAATCACGGTGTTTTAGGAGCTGGCTCTGGAGCCTCTTCACACTGGGGAGAGGTAGGTAGCTCAGAGCTGCGGCTTGAGCAGCTAAACATCTAAGATCTCATAGGAGTGTCTATATATATGTATTTGTATATATTGCCATGCTGTGTTCAAGTTATATTTTTATGAGAAAATTTCTAAGTCCTTTTGGAAAAGCCATTCAAAATTAAGCAACTGTCATAACTTTTATGCCACATTTTTAAATTTTTGGTACGTTTTTCACTTTATACAGAAATTGTTGCTTAATTTTACTCTCACTTGTGCATTTCAAAAGTTGTCCTTTAGTGCTCGTGTACAGTAACAAAGGCATTCAATCTGATTTGATATAAATATGCATCTGATTGAATCATAAACTAAGGGCCAAGCTGGCTTAGAGAAAGACAAGCCTGAGAAAACTAAGTTGCCCCAGGATGTGATGCTAAGACAGGTATTTAAGGCAGGTGAGATGAACTGATTTCTGGAATTGCTCATAGCTCTGTTTTTCTTGAAGGAGGAGATGGGATGACTAGTTTAGGCGTGCTTAACATGTTAGATAGCTGAGCAGGAGTGAAATGAACCCTAGGTTACTGCAGCCAGTATAATAAAATTACTAGAAGCCCTTATGTTCTAAACTGATTGATACTGAGGAACACAATTACCCCCTAAGAATTACTTACTTTCAATTTAAATTGTAATGGAGATTTCTTTTGACTAGAACACACTACATTTTCCAGATTTTTCCAATTTGAATTAAAGCCAAACCAAAAACTTTGCTTGCAAGAAGTTAATCTGCCTTCGACTATGTATATATAAATATAACTCTTTGGCTGAATGTGTGTGCTCCTGCTTTTTGATCTTCAGAGGAAAATCAGCCTCCAATTTAAGAATATTTTTCTAACATTATTCTAAAGAAAAAGATAGAGCTTACCTATATCCACAATTGTGTTGATGCAGAAGATGGAGAGGATTTTTCCATAACGTTCAGTACCTCCAGAATTTTTGGTTCAAGCATTACACATATATCAGGATCCAGACAGATTTTAATCAGTATAGGTCTTAGAAAAATGGGTGTTGATCTTACTTCAGGAGAAAGTAGATATTTCATTTTTCCAACATACCTATCAACCATTGTGTTTAATGACCAGCAGAGCACAGATGGCTCATATAACAGAGCCCATAGCAGGGAACACGCTTAAATCCAGCGCGAAAAGTGTATTTATGCCTGGGAAGGGTGCAAATGACAAAGTCTGGCATTTTGAACCCAGGAAGAAGT